CGGCGGCCCAGCATGGGCGCCCAGGGGGTGCAGGCCATGCAGGTGGGTGAGCGCCCGCCCCGTGCCCTGCTGTCCCTTCCCAGTGTTTCCCAAAACTCACCTGTGAGTGTGGCCGGCTGAGTTAGGCCTTTGGGTGGCCATGTGTCCATGTGACACTGTCACAGAGGGCCTCCCCTGGGAAGGTCATTGTGTCCCAGTCAGGGAAATGAGGGAGGGTCCAGACGGCGAGTGGGCAGGTCCTCACTCCCTGATGACAGAAAACCGGGTCTGCCCCCCGGGCCACGCTCTGGATGACTGTGAAATGAGGTAGTTGTGGGCCTGCTCAGAGTGTAAAAGTGTTGGGAAGTGCGTAGTCTTTCTTTTTCTCCTGGGACAGGTCGTACCAAGCTTGGAAATAGGGCCGGCAGGAGCTGGCCAAGATGGCACCTCACTCGCTCCCGGCAGCCCACCCCCCGCCCCCGGGCCACCAGAGAGGCTAATGCACAGAGCCAGGTGTGCGGGCCGAGGCTGTGAGGGGCGCGTCGTCCGCGTGTCATCAGGGGGCTGCAGGGAGGGCGAGGGCGCATCTCACCTTTGCGTTGTGTCCCCTTGGCCGCAGGCCTGTGTCACTGAGCACCATCGCCGTCCTCAATTCTGTCAGGAGGGCCGTGGAGTCGAGCGGCCAGGCTCGCAGCCGGAGTGCAGGGCTGCTGCCCTCCTCCGTGCGTCCCAGGAGCCCAGGCGAGCCCAGCAACCAAGGTGAGTCCCCTCCCTCGCCCAGAAAGGGTTTCTGTTTGCTCGTCTTTAAAACAAGGGACTTGGTCTGGGGAACAACCAGTCCTGTTGACAGTGGAGAGTGTGCGTGGTTTCACTGCGAAGCTGGGCCTTACTGTACAGTTTGTTCCCGCTTCCCACAGTCCCTGGTCACGGCCTCCCTGGGCCTGGGGGGCGCCGTCTCCGTTCATACGTGCTCATCACTGGCCCGAGCTTGGAAGCAGAGGCGTTTTTCAACCTTTTGAGATAAACAGCCTGAAACATACAGTCTTGTATGTGTGTAATTCTGAGGATTAATTCCCGCGAATATTTTGGTCGTTCACACCATCCTCTCCAGTTCCCTCCATGTGACACTCCAGTCATGGCCACAAGGGCCCCCTTGCCCTCCTAGAAGCACAGGTTCATAATTTTCCATCTTTGCTAGCTCTGGAGACTGACGGTTTTCATCTTAACGTCCACATCTTTGCATCTGAGTGAGACGGGTTGACGTTCCTCACATTTACCGTGTATGTGTGTCTTTTCTGAACCACTTCTTCGCACGAACACCTTATTTGGGATATTAAGTTTGTCGTGTATCTTGCAAGCGTGTCTTCTTGTTGGGATGTTTTTCCCCGTTGCTGTTTGGGTTTTTGGAGAGGTAACACTCTTGCTTTTCTGTAGCGTCCTCCCAGGGCTTGGAGCAAGAGTCCAGTGGAGCCATTGACCGCGTCACTAACCGGGCCATCAGCACTCCTGAGCGTGAGTACCCCTGTGGCGGGACTGGTGTGCTGGGTCACAGCCGACCCCTTCTGTCGCCAGTGCGTCCCCACCGGGCGGTGGCTCTCCTGAGGCCGGCGGTGGAGGGCACCCGGTCTGGCTGCTCCTAGGCCGCCGTGAGCACTCCGCTGACGTTGCGCTGCTGACCGCCAGCTGCTTCCAGATGCCTTTACCCTGGACATGCGGTTAAACTCCCCTCACCCTGCGTGTGAGGTGTCCGACTTGGCAGGCGAGGGGCTGCAGCTCAGACCCTGATTACCATCCTTGGGCGGTGCTGTTCCAGCCAACCTCGGGTCACTAGCTGGGCCTGCACCCACCTCGTGGGATCAGGTGTTGGCACTTGCCACTCACATGTCATTTCGGAGCCAACTGAGCGTGCAGAGGGCTCCACTGCCGGCCATGCGGAGGGCCTGTCTTCTGTCTCCCACTGGGAGGTTTCTCTGATGTCCCGTCCGGCTGCCTGCCCCCTCGCTCCGCAGCCCAGCCATGTGCAGTCCTCCCCACTTCCTGTCCCCTCCGACCCCGAAGACTGGACGCACTGCACCTCCAAGTACCTCATTGTCCATTCTGCTTTGGTTCTCCACCATGTCCGCCGGGCCTGCGGCCAGAGCACAGGGGTCAGGTGGATGGCAGAGCTGGGCGTGAGCTCGGCTTCTCCAGCTCCAGCCCCTGCTGTCCCGGTGCCAGTCGGGTGTCTTCCCTAGGCGCACCGGGCCCCAGCTTGGTGGTTCTGGTACCTGCGATCACTTGGAATGTTTGCCAGTCACAGATGATTTTCATCTCAGTCCTCCTTTTAAGGAAGATTACCTACCTTCCTCCCAGATGACAACCAAATTGTGATAGCTTTTGTCACGAAAAGCAGTGGTAACTTTGGGTTCCTGTGTGCTGAGCAGGTATGATGTCACAGTTGTAGAAAGTCAGCTGCTTTCAAGCAGAAAAGTGTTGTGTCTGCTCTGTGCTCCTGTACGGGTCCCAGATGCTGCAGGAGCGGGACCACATTGCCCTGTGGTTCTGCTCGTCCGCTACGCCCGAGCAGTCCTGGCAGCCCGGGCCCCTCGTAGGAAGCCTGAAAGCTGCATGGCTGCTGCTACTGGGATACACTGAACATAGGACTCTCAGGTGTCCCAGGTCAACAGCCTTTTCTTCCTCGAGTGTAGGATTCGTGGGGGTCTCTCCTGGCAGGTCCCTGTCAGGATGTAAGTCGGGAGCAGAGCACGCGGTCCCATCCTGTGGGGCTGGAGACTTCCGCCTTGACGGGGCTCCCACCTCCCAGGAGGAGCACACAGAGCCCAGGGACCGGGAGGCCCTGCTGCGGCCCGTTAAGGGCTCCCAGTGCTGCAGTCGTGTTGCGCTGACAGAGCCCAGCCACGGCTGGGAAGGGCCCCTCTGCCCCTGGGGTGACCAGAACCACTAGCGTGCCCCCTGAGCACATGGGCGTGACGTCTCGGCAGGGGCGGTGACAGCTGTGCACGCACGGGGCGTCAGCACCCTGTGCTCAGGGCCCTGGGCAGGAGGGCTGTGGGCGGGCAGACTGGCTGCAGGGGGGCAACGACCACGTTGGGGCCGGGCCTCTGAGCGCGGAGCCCTCAAGAGGCACAAGCAGATCGTCAGACAAGCCTGCCGCTGGGGGCGGGGGTCCCGGCTGCTGAAGCACAGCCCTTGTGAGGTTTCAGCACCAGCCTGGCACAAGGACGGGGTTGAGGACTCCACGTAAATGGTTTCATTTAAACCCAGCAACTCCCCAAGAGAGGGAGGTGTTTTCCTTTTTAGAGAGAAAGAAACTTGAGTAGTTCTCAGAATAGTTCCTGCACCTGCTAAGCTGCAGAGCCAGCGCCGGTCCAGTTGCCTAGTGAACTGGGGGGCTAAGCCCAGGTGGGCAGTGAGGTGGGGGGCAACAGCGACTGCACAGAAGGAAGGACCCGCCAGTACCTGAGGAGCTGCAGGAGAGGAGGAGGGGGCAGGGGTCTCGGGAGGACGGGCAGTCAGAGCAGTGGGGGGGGGGGGGGACAGGGTCTTCAACAAACAAGGGCCGCTGGGTTGGACGGGCCCAGACTCCCCGCCCGGCACTCCATTAACTATGCGTCTCCCTCCACCAGGAACCATCCAGAATGTCACGTTTGGAGCAGGACTCAGCTACATAGGCTCACCCCGGACACCGTGCCCTGCCAGAGGCAAGTCCCCGCCCATCAGACACACCAGCCGCAGCCCCATTGTTCTCCCAGGAAGTCTGAGTTTGTCTGACTCTCTTTCAGAGAAAACGGATGCCCAGAGTCACAGAGACGACATCCTGTGTCTGTCGCTGCCCGACAAGCCGTAAGTTGGCCAGAGCCCCTGCCTAGCCGCGTCCCTGTCGGGGTGTCCTGGCCCGTGGTGACTAGCCTGCTCCTCCCCAGGCCCCCGCAGCCCCCGCAGTGGAATGTGACATCTCCCGCCAGAGGCAGGGACAGCACCGCCCCCAGCAGGAGGCGCTCCGGAAGACCCCCCTGCAAACAGCCAACTGACTGCACGTCCCTCGGCTGGACGCTGCTGCTGCGTCCGCCAGGGCTCTCCCTGTGGTGCCAGCACAGCCCGCTTGTCTGCCTGGGCAGCTGGCCAGTCCTGTACCTTCCTCCTTGTGAAACGTGGGGTTCAAAACTGTAAAATACCAGAGAAAGTCTTCAGCTATTTAACACTGTAACTTTCCTCCATTTGAAAGTATCGAGTCTGTTCCGATGAGCTACACCCCAGTCCCCACAGAGCCCAGCACGCCCGCTCTCCTTCACTCATCAAGCATCTGTAGCTGGTTTGAATTCCTGATAGTACATGGTTTCCCACATTTAATATCAAAACTGTTATTTTTTCTATTATTTATAAATTACAAACTTTTAGGAAAGTGTACAGCTGCCTGAAATGAATAAAGGTTAAGTGTAAGCATGGCCTTCAAGTAACCAGTAGACTGCTTTTAGCACAGGGCTTTTCTTGGTAGTCATTTGACACGGAGTTTTGCTAAAACTGAAAATCTTCCCTGGTAGGAAAAAGGGACTCAACCTGGTTTTAAGGTGCAGCTTGTCTGCCCCCTGCCTTTGCCCCTCGCAGCAGGACGTCCTGCTGCCTGAGAAGAAACCCCAACTTGCTCACCAGAGCAGCAGTAACGCGGACTTGCGCTTGGTCCGCGAAGGGCTGTCCTCGTGGGGGAGTGGCTTGCTTCCTTGTTGACACTGTTAGCTCGGTAACCATCAGACATTTGTTCTGTCTAAGAATGACCAGAAGGAAAGGCGGCTGGTTCGTGTTTTCCCAGAAGCAGAAGTGCAGGGTTGCTGTTGCTGGCCCCGCACAGGTGGTGGTGGGCGGGAGTGAGGCTGGTGAGCCCTGGACCCCAGGCCCCAAGTGTGCGCTGTTGGTGGGGGGCAGTCGCAGGGCTGCCTGAGCAGACCCCCACCTCCGTCCGCTCCCTCCAGGCCTGGGGCTGTGCTGACGAGACGCTGATGAGGAGAGAAAGGAGGCGGCCAGGATGGTTTTTAGAAGCTTTTATAAATGAGGTTTAAAAATACCAACGTACAGGCGTGTTAGTCATCACAAGTCTGCATCACTACGTACAGCTGTCGCCACACAAAGGCCACGCAGCCCGGCGTGGCCTCGCGCCTCCAGCGGCGTTTCCATCTTTTTCGTCCACGCGTTTATGAGACAGGCAGCAACTTCCCAGACCCCACTCTCCTCTCTCAGACCCAGGTCATGTGGCTACAGGGATGGTTTTAGGGTGTCAAGGCCACCCCATCATTGTAACAACCAGGATGGGGGTGCTACCCCCCCCACCAAGAGGAGGCAAGGGTGGAGGGACAGCCTGATGTCTATGCTGTCGAGACACGAAGGCCGAGGAAGCGGGCGCCCCCAGCACTGTGGAGGGCTGCTCACGCCTCTGCTAACACCCATGGCAAGGGTTCACACAGCTCAAAAGAGAAAGGTCAGCGTAAGTCTCAAGTATTCAATTTTTAAAAAGTATAAAAAATTAAGACACTGAGAGTTTAATCCCAGGATGACTACGTTCTACATAAAAACCCTCCTTCAGCACACAGTGGGCGGGGTGCAGCCCTCTGAGAAGGTCCCTGCTCCACAGGGCCCCCAGGCCTGAGTGTGTGTCAGGGAGCCAGGCCTTGGCACCTGCGGGGTGGGCCACCGTGTCTCGGGCGGGTGAGAACTTTACTCAGGTCAGGAAGGGCCTGACTCGGGCACTGGTGTCCGCACCACCGCCTAGGGCGGCTGGGAGGGGGGTGGTCTGCGTGCCGTCCTCCCCGCAGAGGGACAGTGGGTTCACTGTCTTTATTCAGATTTGATTCCCAAACTACCTCTGGCTCCAGTCTCAGAAACCACACAAGTGAGCAAAGTGAATTTAGCGCCAGACAGGCTGCTTTGTTTCACCGAGAACTCTGGGGGCCCAGGCTGGGGCCACACAGAGGCGCCCCCCCCCCAAGCCCCTTGGCACTGTCCTGGGTTGAACCATGTGGCACAGGAACAGCCCCCTTATAGCTGGTCCACAGGCCAGGCCACTGTCGGGATCAGAGGTGGCCAGGGCTGGCCTCAGTCAGGACCCAGTGTCCCGTTCGCCCCAACCCTGCCCGTGCAGCATGGTTTGCACGCAGGTGTAAGGGTTTCAGCAGTGGTGGTTCGAGCAACGTGAGGAAGAGGCAGCTCCAAGGCCACCCCGGGAGCCCCCCTGCCCCTCCGCGGAGACGCGGGCAGGGTGGGCACCGCCCAGCTGGGACTTTCAGAGCCTCTCTGAGCAGCAGTGCCTGGCGCATAGGCGGCGTGAGTTTCCCTGGGGAAGTGCTAGCATGCGCGTGGGGACGGGAAACGTGCAGCAGGCCCCCCTGAGAAGGCTGCTTGGGTTAAAGAACTCTGAATCACTGGTATTTTCCAGTTCAGCATGAGGAGCTGGGGCCTCCTACCTGAAGTAGAACTTCTTAAAAAAAATAGGTTATTTAACATTGTATGACAACATATTTACAGTTTAAATAGAAATTTTCTTTTCAATAATCAAAATACATCTTTAGCAAAAATTTAGAATGTAAAATTTGTAAAAATAAACACCCATAGAAAAGCAGGACGTCGCAGCAGTACCATTTCAGGTTCAGCCCAAGACGGAGGCTTTCTTTTGATGCTGGAGCCCTCCTTACAGGAGCGGGTCCCACAGGTGAGAGTTCCCCTTCCTGACCAGCTGCTGTCAGAGATTCCCCAAGGGGCACAGGACGCGGCCACGGCACAGCCCCCAGAGGACACAGCCCGGCAGCACTGTCTCCCAGAAGCGCCTTCCAGACGCACAGGTTCAGCCACCGCTGAGCCCCCAGTGCCGCCCCAATGACCGTGGGAGGGCAGGTCACCTGGCCTCTCCGGCCCACAGCGCCCGCCTGCCCCCGGTGGGAGTTGTCCTCTGCTCGGGGTGACTGTGCCCATCTCGAGGAAAACTTTTATTTGTGTGGCTTGTTAAAAAGTAAGGAAGGAGTAGCGGTCAACTTTGGCCAAAACAAGAAGCTTTTGCGCGAGTGTCTTGCCCTGTACGGTGCCCTCCCCAGGGCTGCTCCCAGCTCAGGTCCCCGCTGGTGGCGGCCATCTAGATGACGAACGAGGACTTGTGTCTGAAGTCGCCCTGCAAGGCCAACACCAAGTTCGAGGGCAGCCCCCCAGCCACGGGAGCCAGGACCCTCGCACCACTTCCCAAAGAGGCACCCTCGTCAAGACAGGAAGCGCAGTGTCATCCGCACGGGCGCAGCCCCCAGGGCCGGCTGGCTGAGCGCCCTGCCCGCTTCATCCAGGCCAAGGGCCAGGCAGCGGTCTGGGCCGCGGCTGTTTTCCCCGCTGGGGACACTGACCACTAGGGGTCCTCTGGGAGGTCTGCCCTGTCCCTCACCCTACCTCCTCATCCGTCCTGATGTAGTTCACTCCGTCCGGCCTCCCTGGGCTCTTGTAGCTGAAACAGGAGGAGCGGAGTGAGACCGACGGGTCACAGGAGCGCTGCCTCCAGCTCCGCTCTGTCCCGCTAGGTGGGCTCACCTGTCCCCGTCCTGCTTGTTGTTGATGAAGTAGCCGCGTCTGTACGCACAGCAGATCCCCACCGTGATCAGGGCCAGGACAGCCAGGACCACCAGGACCCCCCCGATGATTCCACCGATGTTCAGGTCATCTGGAGAGGAGGGGGTGACTCACATGTTCAGGTTCCTGCAGACATGCTGACTGCTGCACACCCGCTGCCCGCTGCCCTGCCCCTCATGCCCGCCCAGCCAGGAGGGCCGCGTGGGAGCCCTCGGCCCTTTCCCAGCCGTGCATGCGCACGCACGCTCGCACGCACACACACAGGCTGTCACACCCACATGCTGCACCAGAGGGGCGCCGGACTACCCTTTAACAGCCCTCTGGGCACGTCCTGAGAACGTCGTAAACTGAGGAAATGGTTCACCATTAACACAAAATTAGGAGTCAGAATCCTAAGGAAGGAAAACCCCTAAGTCTGTAGGGCCCCTTTGCTGGGGGTTAGTTTGTGATCATCCAGCTTCAAGCAGCAGCGAGGCGAGAACGCAGCCTGGCCCGTGGAGGCCCCGGCTGTTCCCTTCCTGCAAACAGGAAGGTGGGGGGTCGACAAAAGCCAACTGACTTGGAAAGTGACGCTCCCCCCTCTAGCCCGGCACTCTCAAGTGTGAGTGCACATCTACTTAAAAGTCCTTTGAGGTTCTAGCTCTGTGATGTCAGTTCACACGCTCACCCCCGGAGGGCTGAGAGGTCTGGAGCAAAGCCACGAATCTTCCTCCCGCCCGAGAGCAGATCCCAGTCTGACAGCCGAGGGTTCCTGTCTGCTGATTTCCTGGAGTCTGCCCTCGACCTCCCCTTTGGAGCCGACCCCTAAGAGGAAGAGTCCCTGGACAGAGCAGAAGTACTGGGGCCAAAGCTCTGGGTTTCAGCGCAGCACAAAATGGCCACAGGTGACTGGAGGCCTCACACAGCCTTTGCTTTTGATAATTCTGCCAATTACCAAAGAAAAGTTAGGCTTCACCGTGTTCTGACACCAGAAGACTCTGGGAAATCTATTCTGAGGAAGGGACGCACCGCAGGGCCCTGCCTAGGATAGGAGCCACTGAGCTGCTCCCCAGACATCCACATCCTCCCGCTGAGGGATGGGGCAGGCCTGTCTCCAGGGGAAGCTGACTGCGAGGAGTCTACACCGTGAGGCGTCCACACGTGAGTCCCAGGGGGACCCCATGCTCGGCCGCAGAGAGACTCACAGACTTCCATCTCCTGCTCCTCACAGCGTGCTGAGCCCGCGTCATTGGACGCGATGCAGTAGTACCGGCCCGAGTCCTCCTTGTGGACGGCGCTGAAGACCTGGGGGCGGGCCACAGGTGAGGCTTCGAAAGGGACCCCCACTGTCGAGGCAGCGAAGCAGCAGCCAACACGAGAGGCCAAGCTTCCCGGTCATGGACACGCAGGGAAAGGGGCTCCGTGACCATGACCTCTGCCCACCCTCCAGGGCAGTGGTCACACACCCTCCCATGCAGGACTCGTCCGGGGCCATCTCAGTGTCTCCAGAAGGGCTTTTACAGCCAATGTTCCCAACGTCCCAGAGTCTGCTGGCTCTCATCCTTAGCCTCTTCCACCCACCACACAGCCACCCCCACCCCCTGCCTCAGGACCCTTCTGTTGGGAAGAGGGGGCAGCAGCTCCTCCTGCAGCATCTCCCACATCCCAGGTTTGTGAGGTTTGTGGCTTAGCCTGGACCGACTCCCAAGAACCGCTGTCCCCACAGGACTCCCCCTCCCGGGGTCTCACCAGTGTGCCAGTCTCTGCGTCAAAGAGGAAGGAGGAATTCCGAAAGCGGGGGTTGGCCCTGGAGTCCGTGGGCAGTGGCACGTCATCACGGTACCAGCTGTAGCGCGGCCGTGGGGACCCCTCGCCCTCCTGGCAGGTCAGCGTGGCTGCCTTGCCTGCAGGTACAGCCCTGGGCACCCGGCACATGGGGGACACTGGCTTCACTGCAAAGGGACACCAGGCAGGCTCTTCTCACCTTGGCCCGTGGCCCAGCAGGGTCTGCATGACCGCCAGGTCACCCCTGCCCCCCAACCTGGTCCCACTGCCTGTGACCCCCGCCTGTGACCCCCCTCCCCACCTTTCCAACACTGCCTCTTCCTCCGGCTGGCACAGGGAGGTGCCAGAAGCCCAGCTTCCCTCCTCACCTTCCACCCAACTCAACCCAACTCTGCACCTCCCGGGGGCTCTAGAAGGAGAGAAGGTAGGATCTGCGTTGGGAACCTTCCCTCCCAGGCAGGCGCCCCACCTTGCACCGTCAGCTCGATGACAATCTCGTCAATCTCCTTGCGGTCATCCCGAGCAACCACCTCACAGCGATAAAGAGCTGAGTCTGTCCGGGTCACGTTCCAGATCTTCAGGGAGGTCTTTCCCAGCAGCTCTGCGCGGCCCGCCAAGTCTCCTGCAGGAGAAGAGACAGGGAACAGGGGGTCTGTGAGGAGATGCTGGATGTTCAAAGGACGAGGTTCCCGAGACCAGCCCTGGGCCTTTCACACTGGCCTCTGTCCCCGTGCCTGGAAAGGGGGGGCACTCCGAGGTCACCGCACGCCAGGCGGGTCCCGGGGGTCCGGGGGACTCAGCACACGTGTCTCTGTGGTTAAAGCCTGGGCTTCACTTCCTTCTCACCATTCACAGCAAGGGTTCCCCATTAGGAGAGAAAAAAACCAAACAACATGAAAAGACAAGCCGCTTCCCATGAGTGGTGCTGGGACCGCTGGGCATCGCGTGCAGGGGAACAACGCCGGACCCGCCCTCACCACACACAACAAACCTACTGCAAGCCTGAGACTGCAGGACCCACAGGAGGAAACAGACATAAGTCATCGTGACCTCGGGCTGGACCATGGTTTCTTAGGCACAACCCCACAAGCACAAGCACACACAGAAAGTTGGACTGGCCTTCACTGTACTTCCAAAAAACTGTAAAACTTGTTTCCTCAAAGGACACAAGCAAGTGAGAAGACAGTCCGCTGGGGCGAGAGGGTGTCTGCAGACCATCAGCCTGACCTGGAAGGACTGACGCACAGAATACAGGAAGAAATAGACAGATAACCTCACTAAATACAAAAAAGGGTTTGGATATACATTTCTCCACAAAGATGCACAAATGCCCAAAAGCACATGCAAAGATGCTCAAGGTCCTCAGTTCCTGGGGAAATGCAGACCCAAACCGCAGTGCGGAACCACGACACCCCGGCGGACGGCTGGAGCGGAGTGTGGGGCGCTGACAGAGCTGGTGAGCTGTGGGGACACACTGCCCGCCGCTGGTGCAGCCACGGTGGGAAGCACCATCCACGCAACACCACGTGGCCCGGCAAACGCATCCTGGTCCTTTATCCCCAAGAAGTGAGAACTTACGTCCACGCAAGAGCCTGCACAGTGTCTACAAACAACATTACGGATGCCAGCCAAAAAGCGGAGACAGGCCGAGCGTACATCCATTGGTGAACTGGATAAAAAGTGTGGCTTCCTCATCGGAACGTCGCTCGTTCATGTTGAGAGAATAAAGTGCAGACTTGCTGCGACGAGGCCAAACCCCGTGCACGACGTGCCCCGCGGGGCCGAGGACTCTGTGGCCCGCTGACGCCAGGGGCCAGGACAGGCAAACCACAGACCAGGAGGCGGGCAGGGGGTGTGTTTTTGCGGGGGCGGAGATGTGCTGGCAGTTCCCCATCTTTGCTGAGTGTTACCACCACCAAGTACGCGGCTTCACGCTGTTGGAATTACTGCATCTCGACTTACACTTTTTTAAAGCATAAAAAGCCACGGTAGCTCTTTCAAAGAAGCATGAAGAGCCTGAACAGTGACAGACGAGGGAGGACTTGGGAAAAGACGACACACGATAGAAACCAGTCATTACTAATGCTGCCAGCTGGTGAGAGTGGGGCGCGCCACAACGCGAGAGCAACCACGTGCTTCTGACGGGAGGCCGAGCGGCCCCTCTTCTGAGGGAAGGCTGGTCCCCCCCCCGTCACAAGTCGGGCAGAACCCACCACAGAGGAGACGGCCCAGGAGCCCCCAGCTGCGGCGGGTACAGCCCTGGGCTCAGAGGGGACCCCGGGCTTCCGGGCTCCTCCGGGGCCTCGTGTGCTGTGTGCTAAACACGCCCCTCCCCCGGAGAAGAGCCAGGTGCTCAGTCCCCAGAAGCAGACCTCAGGAAGAACACCCCCACCCGGGTCAGGGCGGATCAGGAACAGCCTGATTAAGCTGCCGGAGAAAACAGACTGGTTTTCCGAGAATCACATTTCCAACTCTCCATGAAGAAGTGGGGGTACTGGTGGGGAAGCGAAACCACGCTGAAGGGCCGCTGACCCTGATGCTGTCAGGGACCCAAGGAAGAAAGGCCACCCGTTCCCCAAACCCTCCACTGTCAGCTCTCCTGCTTCCGCAGCTCAGGCTGCCTCCCTCTCGTCCCCTCCCTCCCTCCTGGGTTCCACCCCAGAAGCAGCGGGCAGGCCTCTCGGCCCCTTGGAAGCATGAAGGTGCCCATGTCACTTCCCTCCTAACGCCTTTCAAGAACACTGTCCACCCTTGCCTGGTGCTGCCGGCTTCATGTCCAGCTCCCCGTGGTTGCCCACCCCCCAGCCTCCCCCAAAGCCCGGCCTCCCCGCCTCCACCCTCCGCCGGCTGTGCTGGAGGACCCGCAGTCTCTCCGAGCAGCTGCCTTTGCCTCCACATCTTTCTGCCTGGCGTCCTCCCCGCCCACATCGCCTGGCCTGGCTAACGAGCCTTCCTCCACATCTCCGCCTGGACACCACCTCTGGGAAGCCTCCCCAACTGCCGTCCTGGCCCTGCCACCTCTGACCTGGCACAACAGGAGGTGCGCAGTGAACACTGCTGTCCCTTCTGCCCCACACAGTCCCTGACAGGCTCACTCAACTTATGACACGGAGACGTCCTGCGAGTGTTCCCTCCAACGCCTCAGAAAGACGCAGCAGGCAGACTGACCTGACTGGTGACGCGACATGTTCTGATGCAGGGGCGGGGCAGGGAGGTTCAGGACACTATTCTCTACTTTTGTATATTTTAAAAGCAAAACAAAACAAAACCCCTGGCCTGGAAGCAGGTCTGGTCAAGGGCCAGTCTCAGGCCCAGCGCCTGTGGGCCTTTTATATGAGGACAGGACCGAGGGGTCATACCCTGAATTTTGTTGTCAAAGTACACATATGTGGTTTGTGCATCTTGAATTTTCTTCCACTCAATCCTGGGGTCGCTGGTCTGTGAATCCGTAATGATACAAGACAGCTCCACACCTGACGAGAAAGGAAAGATTCTCAGGACACATGCAGCAATTTTAGGTCTGCTTGTCCACCCAGACTCGCAAGCTGTGTATAGGTTTAGACAGGTCCAAGAGACATTAAGAAAAGATTCATTTTAGCCAGAAAAACAATAAAAGATGATTAGCAAAGACTTCTCCTGAAGAAAGTACACGTTCCCCTTCATACTCTGCTTACACATAAGAGCTGTCTTGGTGAGAACACAAACCCGGGCAGGAAGCAGGCTTTAGCCAACGGGAGGCCTGCAGTCAGTGCTTCACTGACACGTGCTTGTGGGAGACAGTTGAGGAGCCTCCCCCGAGTCTCTTGGGGACGATACACACGTGTATGTTTGCCCTGTATCAGCCGCAAAACCGCCAAGGGTCCCTTAGGTGGGGCCCATTCCCCTAAAGTCTCCCTTGTACTTACTTTCAAATTCCTGCACCACTGGGTTTCGGTTGCTGGATTTCAGGTTCACAGCCCCGAGCAAGCAGCCTGAAGGAAAAAAGAGAAGCGAAATCAGAAACCATGCAACTCCACAACAGCAGACAACCTGCAGACTGTGTAGGCCGCAGTAGCTAGCCACGGGCAGCGGGAGACGTCGTGTTCCCAAGTCCCTGCAACACACACCTGACCGCTTTCCCTGGGGCTGGGCTGCCCTGGGAGGGGCCACGAGGGCGAGATGGGTCCTCAGGGAGCAAGTGCTCCCTTACCTCCTTAGTCCCAGAACAAAGCCCCTGGAGCTTTGAAAGCTTCTCCTCTGAGAATTTACCTCTTTACAAAGGATTATGAGAATATCACGAAGTTATACACCAACAAACTGGACAGCCTCGAAGAAATGGATAAATTCCAGACTCACACAACCTTCTAAGACTGAATCTGAATGGACTGATCACTAGGAAAGAGATCAAAACAGTCATCAAAAACCTCCCCCAAAACACACGTCCAGGACCAGATGACTTCACAGGTGAATTCTACCAAACATTCAAAGAAGGTTTAATACCAATCCTTCTCAAATTATGTCCAAAACTGAAGAGAAGGAAATGCTTCCTAACTCATTTTTCAAGGCAAACATTGCCCTGATACCAAAACCAGACAAAGATAACACAAAAAAGAAAACTATAGGCCAATATTCCTGATGAACATAGATGCAAAACTCCTCAACAAAATGTTAGCAAACTGAATACTGCAATGTATCAACAAGATCACACACCATGAGCAAGTGGGGTTAATCCCAGGCATGCAAGGATGGTGCAACACCCACAGATCAGTGTGACGCAGCACATCAACAAAGTGAGGGTAAAAACCATTCATGACCATCTTAACAGATGCAGGAAAAGCATTTTACAAGATTTAACACCCGAGTATGAGAAAACTTTCAAAAAAGTGGGTATAGAAGGAACCCCAGCATTATAAAACCATAAAGACAGACTCATAGCTAACATCATACTCAACAGGGAAACACTAAAAGCTGTCCCTCTAGAATCAAGAACTCGACAGGGGTGCCCACTCTCACCACTCCTAACATAGTGCTGGAAGTCCAAGTCTAGCGATTAAGCAAGAAAAGAGAGAATCCAAACTGGAAAGGAAGAAGGGAAATGGCCACCACTTGTGGATGACATGATCTTACACACAGAAGACCCTCAAGACTCCGCCAAAAACTATTATAATAAATGAGTTAAGCCAAGTTGCAGGGTACAAAACCAACACACAGAAATCTGTTGTGTTTCTATACATTAATATGAGCTAGCAGAAAGAGAAATTAAGAAAACAATCCCATTTATAACCACAACAAACTATAACAGCACGTAGACACAGAGCAGTGGTACCAGAGTGGAAGGGGTGGGTGGCGGTGGGCAGGGGGTCAGCGATGCAGTGACCATGGAAACGACTTCTGGGGGTGGGCTCGCCGCAGGGTACACAGGAGGAGAAATAGAGTGCTGTACACATGAAACATATGTTATAAATCAATGTTACCACAATAAAATTTTTTACATTTTTTTTCACTTGCTTAGAGTCACAGTTAACCCTTTGTTATCCATCTCCAGACCTACAGTCACTCCTGGTCACTCCTGCATCTTCCTGGCACCTTCCCCTGCAGGGCAGCGCCAGCACTCTCAGGATCAGTTATCAACCAGCTAGAGACCACTTCGCTGTGTCAGCCAGGTACCCAACCCCGTGAGTCCCATCCATTAAAAAGTTTCCACCCATCTTTGGTAAAATGAAAAAAGCAGTAACATGAGGACCTTCCCGAAGCTAAGTTCAGTGAAGCTACCGAGGAAATCAAGATACGCCGCCTGCATGTTGGTCCCTCTCACAACCAGCACCTGGCTCCTCACGTGTTCAGATGAGTTAGTTACTTTACTGTTTTATACCGTATCTTTAGGCCTTTGATCTATTTTAATTTTTTGTAAAGTAAAGACCCAACTTAATTATTTAGGATGTGTATAACCAGTTTTTCTAGCACCATTTGTTGAAAAGACGGTGCTTTCTCTATTCATTGGTCTTGGCACTCTTGTTGAAAATTACTGACCACACACACAAGCGTCTACCTCAGGGCTCTCTTCTGCTCCACTGGGCCCTGTCTGTCTCGATGCCAGCACCAGCCTGTTTTGATTACTACAGTTTCATAGACGTTTCATAATCAAGCGCGAGTCCTCCTCTTTTGTTCTTTTTCAAGATGACTCTGGCTATTCAGGGTCCCTTGAGATTCCACGTAGACTTTTAGGGTGGGATTTTCTATTTCTGAAAAAGACACTGTGGGGATTTTGATAGAGAATGTCTTGAATCTGTAGGTGGCTTTGGGGAGTGTTAACATTAGGTTTTCTAATCCATAAACAGGGGGTGTCTTCCATTTACTTGTATCTTCTTTAATTTCTTTCAGCAATGGATTATAGTTTTTGGTGTACAAGTCTTTTACCTCCTTGATTAAATTTATTCCTATGTATTTTGATGCAATTATAAATGGAATTTCTTAATTTCTTTTTCTGATTGTTCTTTGTTAGTGCAAAGAAATGCAACTGATTTCTGTATGCTGGTTTTGTTTTCTGTGTTCCTGTTATTAGCTCTAATGGGTTTTTTGTTTTGTTTTGTTTTGGTCTGGTTTGGATTTGGGTGTAATCTTTAGAGTTTTCCACGTGTATCTATGAATGAGGATAGTTTTACTTCTTCCTTTTCAATTTGGGTGACTTTTACTTCTTCTTGTTGCCTGACTGTTCTAGCTAGAAATTCCAGTATTTTGTAGAATCAAAGTGGTGAGCTCAGGTGTCCTGGTCTTGTTCCTGATCCTGGGGAAAAACCTTCCAGCCTCTCACCATTACTTACGACACTAGCTGTGAGGTTCTTCATCTATCTTTTATTATGCTGAGGGAGACCTCATCTACTCCTAGTTTATTGAGTGTTTTTATTATGAAAGGGGGTTGGATTTGTCAAATGCTTTTCCTGCATCAGTTGAGACAAACGTGGTTCTTTTCCTTTATTCTATTAACGAGGTGTATTACCTTAATTTTAATGTGTGAAACCATTCTCGCAAACTGGGAACAAATCCCATTCATTCATGTGCATAATCCTTTTAATGTGTTGTGGAATTCCATTTGCTGGTATTTTTTGGAAGATCTTGCATCAGTATTAAGGAGTATTAATCTGTAGTTTTCTTACAGTGCCTCTGTTGTTAGAATAAGGGTAACATGTGGCTTACAGGATGAGTTAGGAAGTGTTCCCTCCTCTTCAGTTTTTGGGAAGAGTTTGAGAAGGACTGGTGTTAATTCTTCAAACGTTTGGTAGAACCCATCAGTGAAGCCATCTGGTCCACGCTTTCTGTTTTCAATTACTATAGGTCTATTCAGATTTTCTACTTCTTAATGATTAAGTTTTGCTAGATTATTGTTTCAAGGAATGTGTCCATTTCACCTCGGTTAACAAATGTGTGGTACATCCTTGATCATAGCATTCTTATAATCCTATTTCCATAGAATCAGTGGTTGCAGCCCCATTTTCTTTGCTGATTTTAGTAATTTAAGCCTTCTTTTTTTCTTTAATCAATCTGAAGGTTTGTCAATTTTGTTCTTCTCTTCAAAGAAGCAACTTTTGTTTTCATTGACTTTTCTCTACGTTTTTCTGTTCTCTTGTTTATTGCCCTCTGCTCTAAGCTTTATTCGTTCCTTCCTTCTGCTGGTTTTGGGTTTAGTTCTTCTTTATCTAGTTCCTTAAGATGTAAGATTATTATTGATTTGAGATTTTTTCTTTTTGAAATAGAAGCATTTTAATTTTTAGTTCCGCTTTAGCTGAGTCCCATAAGTTTTGGTATGTTGCGTTTTCATTTTCATTTCCTCAAGGTATTGCTAATTTCCTTTATAACTTCTTTGACCTGTTGGTTAAGAGTATGTTGATTTTCATGTATTTGTAAAATTTCTAGTTTCTTTCAATTGTTTACTTCTAGCTTCATCCCATTATGATTAGAAACAATACTTTATATGCTTTAAATTTCTTGAATTAAGACTTGTGTTTTGGCCTAACATATGATCTATCCTAGAGAATGTTCCATGAGCACTTGTGAAAAATGTGTCTGCTGCTGCTGCTGCAGCTGCTAGGTGCAGTGTTCTGTGCACAGCGGATCCAGGTGGTTCATACTGTTCATGTTCTCTGTCTTGTCTATCTGTTACGAAAGTGGGGCACTGAAATCTCCAATTATTATAGTAAAACTGTTTCTTCCATCAATCCAGTCAATGTTTGCTTCATATATTATGGGGCTTAGATAATTTATGCATATGTTTATAATTGTTTTATCTTCTCGGTAAATCAAGATGTATTATCATTCTTTGTGCCTTGTAACAGTATTTTGTCTGATCTGAGTATAGCCGCCTTGGCTCTCTTTTGGTTATATTTGCATAGAGTATCTTTTCCATCCTTTAACTTTCCCAACCTATTAGTTTTTAGATTGAAAGTGAGTGTCTTGTAGACAGCATGTAGCTGGATGTTATTTCATCCATTCTGACAATCTCTACCTTTTGACTGGAGCGTTTAATCCATTTACATTTTAATTAACTGATAAAGGACTTACTTCTGCTATTTTACTACTTGTTTTCTGTACGTATTATTTTTTTGTCCCTCATTTCCTCCATTACTGCCTTTTTTTATATTTTGTTGACTTTTTTGCGGCACATTTTGATTCCCTCCTCATTTCCTTTAGGGTACCCTCCATAGATAACATCTCTGTGGTTATCACAAGGATTATTCCAACATCCCAAAATTACAAAAAATTTGAATTAATACCAACTGAACTTCAATTGTATACAGAAACTTCCCTGCCTTCCCCTTTATGTTACTGAAGACACAAATTAATTTTATGTATTTTGTGCCTTATCAATAACATTTACATTTACTTTTATGCATCTGTCTTTTAAATTCTATAGAAATGAAAAGTGCAGTCACAAACCAAAATTATAGTAAGACTGGTTTTCACATGTGTCCGTGGCTACCTCTACTGCAGGTCTTTGC